CATGGATCGTGTATGTTATGTATCTATGTCTATATATAGGGTATAAATACATGGATCGTGTATGTTATGTATCTATGTCTATATATAGGGTATAAATACATGGACCGTGTATGTAATTATTATATGTATCTTGTGTGATATGCAATTGTCATATGTGTATTATGTTTGTTTAATTTACGAACAAAGTAAATGTCAATTGAAATACGAATTTTACTTTAATCAACAGGTGAACTTCACGAGTCCTGTCATCATTCGTGACGTCACTACTCAGGGCCGTAATGGCTGCTGCCAGGACTGGGTCACCCAGTACAAGCTTCAGTACAGCACGGACTGTGTCACGTGGTTACCCGTTGGCACTGGAGCTGGAACGGTATGTTGTGACGTTTATAATGACGTTATTATTTACCAAATAAAGAATATTGTTAGCAACACCACAAATATAAAATTAAAAATAAGGATTCGAAAAAAGATATAAACACGACACGACTTTCTGGTTATAAAGTAAACATAATCGTGATTAAACAAAACACCATTTGTCAAATAGTTTGAGTCTTGAACGTTTTCTATAATACAGAGCGCGCATTTTTATATAAATGTACTGCTAAACATGATCACCTTATTTTAAACACATTTATTGATAAGACTCAATGAATACTACATACTTTATTGTTTAAAGAATGCGAGAAAGGAAGAAAAGAAAGATAATAAAATGATAACGATTACATGTCATGGTGTCGTTATAATGAAGCAAATTCGCGATACATTATATCAACATACAAATTGAATGACACTTACGTTTTGTGAGAATTTGGACACAATTCTCATATATTGGAAACATATATTCATTATACAAATAAACAAGAGGTCCAGAGGGCCTGTATCGATCACCTGTTTCATTTGTTACATGCAACTGACATATAGGTAACTTAAGACCAAATTTGGTAACTAGAACACAAGACATTTTAACATCTCTTAAACGGTTCTGAAGATATTGTTGTTTGAAACTTGAAATTTTAATGTTAAAGCTTTTAACTCATATTGACCCTTGACTCCCGACTTGCACTTAAAGTTGACCTATGATCTCATTACTGTAATAAAGAAAACAATTCACACAGCTGGTCTACATAACATGACCAAGTATCATGACTCTAGTCCAAATAGTTCTTAGGATATTGTTGTTTGAAGTTTTTAACATAATTGACACCAGTGACCTTGGAAGTAGGTCAAGGTCATGTTAATGAGGAAAATTTATAACACTTCATCCCTACCTACTGGCCAAATATCATGACCCTGAGCCTTATGGAAACTGAAAAGAAGATTGTTAAAGCCTTTGACTCATGTCGACCTTTGACCCCATTTTGCACTTAACGTTGACCTTTGACATCATTACTGTAAGTAAGAAAAAGATTTACACTGACTGTCTTAATAACATACCCAAGTATCATGACACTAGTCCAAATGGTTCTTAGGATATTGTTGTTTGAAGTTTTTAACATATTTAACCCAAGTGACCTTGAAAGTAGGTCAAGGTCATTTAAATGAGGAACTTTATAGCACTCCATCTTAGGTACCAACTGGCCAAATATCATGACCCTGGGACTAATGGAACTTGAGAAGAAGATTGTTAAAGGTTTTAACCAAAGTTAACATTTGAATCCCCGACTTGCATTTAAATTTGACCTTTGACGTCATAACTGTAACCGAGAAAAATATTCGCACTGCTGGTCTATATAACATAGTCAAGTATCATGAATCTAGTTCAAATGGTTCTTAGGATATTGTTGTTTGAAAAGTTTCACATAATTGACCGCTTTGACCTTGAAAGTAGGTCAAGTTCATTTTGATGAGGAAACTTTAAAGCACTCCATCCCAGGTACCTACTGGCCAAATATTACGAGCCTAGGTCCTACAGTTCTTCAGAAGAAGTCGTTCAAAAGAAAAAGTTGACGGACGGACGACGGACGCCGCAGTACGGCATAAGCTCACATGGCCCTTCGGGCCAGGTGAGCTAAAATTATCTTGCACAGTACCAAAATATTGCTTTCTTATATCAGCAGTTCAGACTGGTGTTGACAATTATTGGTATACATTTGACCCTTATAACACATTTCATAGAGTTCCACATAATCTACCAAATAGTGCTGGTTTTCATACAATCATCACGTCCACAAATATTATATATACATTCTGAAATTGATAAACTAAAGGGTTTTACCTCCACATCTGTTTAAACAAAAGTTTGAGTCAGTCTGGATTCCCTAATCGTTTGGCCCCTAGCACCACAGATGAGTCTTATACAGACTAAACAGCTGCACGATGAAGTGTAACTCATTTAAGGCAAACTATCAATTACTATCAATTACTATCAATAACTATCAATTAATATCAATAACTATCAATTACTATCAATTACTATCAATAACTATCAATTGCTATCAATAACTATCAATTACTATCAATAACTATCAATTACTATCAATAACTATCAATTACTATCAATGATTACCAATTACTATCAATAACTATCAATTACTATCAATTTCTATCAATTACTATCAATTTCCATCAATTACCAAATGTTGAAGGTACAATCACTGTTTTGGGTGTTATATTAAATCTGATAACATCACCAAATGTGTCATATAATCGAATTACTGGTGATGTGTATTTTATCTGATATATCATGTCTCCGTTGTATCATCCATTGTCTTGGAGTAACTATTCTTCTAAATATATAGAAATGCATTTTATTTTAAATAGAATGTAACCCCGAATGAATAATGTTGACAGTTTGTTTACGACATATAAAAGACGACGTCAAAGTCAATATTTCTTTGTGCCTGACAACAAGTGATCGTTGGATTCATTTTCGGAAAACAGATTATATTGTTTTTATTTCAAAAACAAGGCACTTATTGAAAGTGTCATATCATTCTTTTGTCATCAAAGAGTACGCAAAATGGTATACTAAATAACTGGTATAGAAAATGTTGTATATTTTTATAAAAGAGTGTGGAGAGTACAATTTATTATAGATATGATTATAAAACTTCTTATTTTTTAGTTTTAAGGCCATGAAGCATTCATTCAAATACATGTATGTGTATAATTACAGCAAACAAAATTCTCCAAATGCTGGACATGTTAATCATTTTCATATTTTGCTGATCTCTGATATGCTTTCTCTAAGTTATCGGGAACTCTAGACCATTCACTGAAAACAAAACTTTTCAATAGAAATAATGGCAAAAACCTATATTTGTATACACCCTAATTATAGAGTACAATTCGAAATATCATCTGGCAGTATACCAGTTTTGTTAGTGTACAAAGCGTTACAGCGTTATGCACGAATACGAGTAGGACTTTGGTTTCTGAGGAGAACCATTTAGAATGTCTCGACATCCGTGATTTCTTTTCAGTTTTAATAAGTATAAACATGTTATGGTTTTAAAAATGCATTAATTTTCTTAAAACAAATATAATTAATAGGTAATTGATAAATACACTTTTCACACAGACGTTTACGGGAAACACCGACCAGGATACGCAAGTCAAAAACTCACTGGGATGTGTTATTACTGCCAAGTGTATGCGACTCATTCCGCTCGTCTGGAACAACAACATTGCAGTTAGGATGGATTTCACCGGATGTAAGATCAGGCAGAGCCCGGCAGGAGGCGCCACCACCACCTCGCCTGTTCCGGCGACACAATCGGTTCCACAGCCGGCTGTTACAGCTCAAGGCTAGTGATCTTGACGTAGTGATATAGGATCCCAAAGTGCTTGTTTTTGATGACGTCACTCCCAGTGCTTTTAAATTATTCCTTCTGTTTTGTACTGTGTTCCTTTGTTTGCAAACCTTTCCTTAAATCCTATAGTTTCCCTGTTCCTTATCCCGCTTGTAATTCCTTACACATATTGTATATTTTCCCCATTTAATAATATATATATAACGTAACCACTTATGTAACTAAATTGTGTTGTGTAATTATAAAGACATTGGACCTATCAATATAGCAAACTTCATCTATCATCAATAATGCATTGTTAAGGTTAACGGTTATAACAAATGTGAATGTTCAAAATACGTCTTTATTGTGAGTTCTAAAATTCAAATATTTCTGCAATAAACGAGGACACCGTTGTATGCTTTGGTTGCTTAATTTCTTTGTTTTCCTTTGTTATTTTGTTTAAATATATATTTCCATAAAGAAACTCATTCAACTTAAATAATGTATGAACAGTATTTCTGTTCAGAATGTCAAATGTACAAACATGATTACACAAATGTACGGGTTATAAGACAGTCTTTATTATTTTTGATCACATCTTATATGGGAAGCTTTAGTTGACTTTTTATTTAACAAATAATGTTTAGGAAAAATGAATCGTTTAAGTTTTTTTTTGTTTGCCGTTGTGTCTACCAATCACCTGTTGCTCTTTGCCTTATAGCACAACTCATTCTGTCAAACTATATTAGCGAGAAGTCATATCCTGGTCCCATGCATGTCATTAATTGTACAGAACAAACGAACTGATTATATATCTGGCAAGGGTAATGATCTGACTTGTTTTGAATTTGATTGATTGAAAATTGATATAAAAGCGAAATAATGTATAATGATGATATCGCTAAGCAATTGCCTTCATTCTGTTGCTGACAAAATTCAACAATAAAAATGTAAGCATGGAATTAGGTATGTGTATAAGGGTGTACGACAATGTCTTTTTTATAAAGACATGCTACTTATTTAAACATTATTTTAGTCCACCATTGTGTTTGTGTGTACACAACCTTGTATTCACTAATGGTGTCAATCAAGTAACGTTAAAACCAGCGCCGTGTTACCTGTACAAATAGTACCTATGCTTTTACTGTAACCGTTCGAACCCTATTAGTTTTCCTAGTAAAACATGCCAATCCTGCAATGTTGTATAAACATTTCCTTCCTTATCCCGAAAATTATTCCTAATGTAACCTGCCCACCTGCAATGTTGTATAAATGTTTCCAGCCTTTTTCTGAAAATCGTTCCTTATATAACCTGCCATTCCTGCAATGTTGTATAAATGTTTCCAGCCTTATTCTGAAAATCGTTCCTTATATAACCTGCCATTCCTGCAATGTTGTATACAGGTAGCCTTCCTTATTCCAACAAGTTATGCCTAGCATAACGTGCTTATCCTGCAATGCTGTATAATGTATCTTTTTCGACTCCGAACAGGTGTTTGTGTAACTTGCCAATCCTACAATGTTGTATATAATTTAATCTTTCTTACTCCAAAATCGTTCGCCTTATTCAACCTTTGTATTATGCATTGTTGTTCTAATGTTTTCTTCTTAATCTCGCCATGCGGTGTCTAATTGGTTTTCCTCTAAAATTATCCTTTAAAGTCCAATGTTTTTCGTTTATGTTATTTAACGTGTAAAATGCCACCATATAACACGTATTCTTTGTGTAACCGTGTAAATCCTCTAACTCTGTTTTGGTTATAGAACTTTATACATCCCACTATCACGTTTGTTACTGACTTTATATTGTTATTTTCCAGCGTATGGTAATAATGATATAATATAACCTTATACAACATGCCCTCCTGTTTGAATAACATGATGTTTTCCACTTTTTTCTCGTGTTGCTAAATATGTTAAATTATTTCATATGTATTATTTCGGTGGTCTTTAACACAAGTGAAGTACAAATTATGCTATATGATATTATCTTTTCAAATATGCATTGTTAACCGAGAAATGTTTTTCATTACATAACCCAATTAATTAACACATTTAAGCAATGATGTTTTAATGACAAACATGCCATCTATTTCAACAAACATGACCAGTGAAAACAAACAACCCGTAACTTGTAAATTATGATAAAATGAAAACATGAGATTAGCTTTATATGGGCCGCGTCGGCCAAGTTATTAAGTCGTCTGCCATTCTGCTACCACGAGCCCTCCTATGTGGGACAGTCGCCAGGCTCAAGTTCAAGTTCTTTATTGACCAAAAGTCTTAAGACTTATAGGTACAAACTAATCATGATACATTGTACATGTATATATGTTATAGGAGAGTGACTATAAGCATACAAGTGCAAACTAAACAAAGAACATAATACAAAAGCACAAAAATTATAAATACGTGTAGCTAATTAATCAATTTCGCCGCTTAGTGGCTAGATATAAATATTTACCTAGATTTGACAACTCTTTGACATTATTTACAGATAAAAGTTGGACAAGTTTGTAAACAGAGGGACTCTTATAATAATACTTCTTTATATACTTTAACCTCAAATCATTATAAAAAGGACATACAAAAATGAAATGAAATTCGTCCTCGACGTCTCCCAAATCACATTTGCTACAGTTTCTATTTCTGCGAATGATATTATTGTGTCTACCCTTTTCGATATTCAGTTGATGAGACGACGTTCTAAATTTNAGGGCGAAAAAAGGGATAACAACAACAATAGGCACGCTATTGGGCAAATTCAAAAACATCGAACTTCAAACCACTGAAGAAAATAAATAATATCCAATGAGAACGTGACGGCAACCATTAGCTGTCGATCACCTTCATCAACCTGCTACGTGGAAGCCATACGTTGCTGACTTTACATGCGCAATCAGCAGTTGACATTAATCACGAAAAATGTGATATTTGTAACAAGCTTTTTATTACCTTTTTAACTGGAATATGGAAAACCGAGGGTTTGGAAAGCAGGGATGTTTTTTATAAAAAGGGAAGTTCATGACAGAAAGTATACACTTCCAACGTTAACATATAGCGTGTTAGCAAGCCGTCCATGTTGATTATGTTGTGAGTTAAGGTCGAGGCATGCGACTTATGCAGAACAATCTGAAAAGGAATTTCAGCCTACTATAAAACGTGTTGGTACTAAAGGTCATAGGCTGACGCTGATTACATTTATGTATGATTATTAAAACCCTACATGTGGCAAATCAAAGAAAGTTTTTTTTCAGGTTTAATTTAGATCAATGTAAAAGCAATTGAAATGGATGTATGACCGTTTATTAAGTAAGATATTTCAAATTGCTAGAACCAAAGGCCTGACATTTCTGCTCCAATGGGAATGCTTCATGTTATTCATTACAGTATGGTGATAAGAATTTTGTTCAAAATGAAATCTTTCGTGAAATACGACACGGAACAGAAGCAACGAAGCATCACTGCATGTTAAAACAAGAATATTTTTCAACTGCTAAACGATACTTAATTTGTTTTGTTGTGAGCTTTATTTTCACAAACTTATCATTCTCTTCAATATTTCATTGATACGCGAAAGCAAATTCTATTTAAATATATGGGATTTCTACAAATAATGAGTAAAATTGTCAGAAACAATCCGAGTGTTATTAAAATTTAGTCCAATAAAACATAAGACCATCATTCCTGTCCAAAATCAAATAAAGCGTCGGACGCCAGTATTCTAGTCAATACAACGATCTATGAATCAGTACCATAAATTAACAATCACAAACACCGTGAGGATTACATATTTCTGTCAAAACTCACGTTTAATGTTAGGAATGACGCATTACATTCAGGGTGGGTATTATAAAGTGCATATATAGTATAAGAGAAGTCAGTTTGTTTTAAAACATTTCCCTTAGGTTGTTTAGTATATATACATATGTATGTATATAAGTTTATAAGAGTATAAGAGAAGTCAGTTTGTTTTCAAACATTTCCCTTAGGTTGGTAAATATGGATATGTACCCAGGTTAGCATAGGTTAACATAGCACAATCGGTGACATATGTATGTGTGACGTTTCGATTACTAGCACGATATGTTCCCTTTAACCTTCCCAAGACAAAGTAATGGTAACTGGTATGTTATAAAGGTTGTTCAAAATGTACGGAATTGATAACGACTCAAGGTGCACACCGTCATAGCGTAGCCGACTCGACGGTCGTTTGGTTCTTGATCGTACATATTTTACATTTATAAAGAGGCCCCTACATGAGTGGTTATGTCATATTGAATTAATTAAACAAGTTCAATAATTTGATATCACACGAACCTTTGAACAAGTTTAATAATTTAAATATGACATTGACACGGATGTAAGATTCCAGATTTTTTGCTTTAAAAAAAAAAGAAAATTAACAGTTTTAACTGCAAAAAAGTTATAATAACAAAACCCACACTTCAAAATAATTTAGAATAGCAGTAAATGTATCAAGTAGTATAGTAAATAAAAGTACATGTCGTAGTTTGAGTGGCGTATGAATACGTTTTTATTGTTTTGACCAATAGTTGCACTTTTTGGTTTTATCACCATGCCATCACTATTTCACTGGTTGTGCTTTATGAACCGGGCCACTTTATAAGAAGCCATTATTCTTGTTTTCAATTACACACTCTTTGGAGCATGTACTCCTTTTTGGGATCACACTGATATTCTAGTCCAAAGCTGTACACTTCGTTAAGAATCAGTATTCAAGTCCATAGCTGTACACTTCGTTAAGAATCAGTATTCTAGTCCATAGCTGTACACTTCGTTAAGAATCAGTGTTCTAGTCCATAGCTGTACAATTCGTTAAGAATCAGTATTCTAGTCCATAGATGTACAATTTCGTTAGGAATCAGTATTCTAGTCCATAGCTGTACACTTCGTTAGGAATCAGTATTCTAGTCCATAGCTATACACTTCGTTAGGAATCAGTGTTCTAGTCCATAGCTGTACAGTTCGTTAAGAATCAGTATTCTAGTTCATAGCTGTACAATGCGATAAGAATCAGTATTCTAGTCCATAGCTGCACACTTTGCTAAGAGTCAGTATTCTAGTCCATAGTTGTACACTTCGTTAGAAATCAGTATTCTAGTCCATAGCTGTACACGTCGTTAAGAATCAGTTTTCTAGTCTAAAGCTGTACACTTCGTTTAGAATCAGTATTCTAGTCCATAGCTGTACACCTCGTTTATAATCAGTATTCTAGTCCATAGCTGTACACTTCGTTTAGAATCAGTATTCTAGTCCATAGCTGTACACTTTGCTAAGAGTCAGTATTCTAGTCCATAGTTGTACACTTCGTTAAGAATCAGTATTCTAGTCCATAGATGTACACTTCGTTAAGAATCAGTGTTCTAGTCCATAGCTGTCCAATTCGTTAAGAA